TATTAAAAATTATATGACTACACGTTTCTCTTAAAAGAATATTTTAATATTATTTTTGAATGATCAAATATCAATACTTATCTAGGTATTAAAAGTTATAAGCAATGAGTTATAATAATTATCTGATATTTACTAATCTAAAAATTAGTTAAAAGTTAGATTATATTGATATAGAATACATTTTTATTTAAGAGAGATCCAAGCGTAAGTATTAAAAATTACTATAAATAGCTATATAATAAATCATAATGATTATTTCACAATTTTATTTTAAATATTAGTTATAGAATTAAATTTAATAAGTGTAAAATACTATTTTCATATTTTTTATATTATGATAATTTGAAATATTATTTAATTGAATAATTATTTAGAATATTTTTTAGAATAGCATGAAAGAATAATTAGATAATAGAAGATTAGTCCTATTATTTTATAAAATAATTACTAATATACAGTATATTTAGAAAATAGAATTGTTACATAAAAAAACTAAAATCCTTTTTATATATATAAAATTTAGAGAGTATATTTAGTATTTAAGTCTCAAGCTTAAGACTATAATATTGTATGTATTTAAAGAGAGTAAAAATATATTTAAAAAATCTAACTATATATAAATTATTTATTGATCATTAAAAATTTTATTAACTAAAATATTTTAAAAATATTAATATTTTTAATTAAAAATAATATATCAATAATCTGAAAGTATAATAACTTATAACTTTATTTTAAGAATAGCTTTAAAAATATTGAATAATAAGTTATTTAAAAATATAGTAGTTAATAAAAATCCTGAATAATGCTAATATAACTCACAAAAGGATTTGCGTAAAATTTATATGAAAATATTTTTAAACAAACAAATAGAGATTATATAAATTAGTCTAATTTTAAATTACTCATAAATTGTATTTGTATAGAATTAATTAAAAATAAAAACTAAGAGCTAGAGATATATAGTTAATCATTTTTTTTATTAATAAGATAATTAAATATTAAATAAGTACAGAAGTTAAAAAAATAAAAAAATAAAATGAATTAGAGTTCAAAAATTAGAATAACGATAAAGGTTAAAAAATAAAAAATAAAGTTTAAAATTCAAAAAAATTAGAATAAAAATTACAAAAAAAAAAAAATAAAGCAAAATTAAAAAAATTAGAATAGAGATTGAAAAAATAAAAAATAAAAGTATGAAATTCAAAAAAAAATAAAACAGAAGTTGAAAATTAAAAAAAAAATAAAGCTGAGTTTAAAAAATTAGAATGAAGATTAAAAAATAAAAAAATAAAAATGCGAAATAGAATAAAGATTAAAAAAAATGGAATAGAGTTTAATAATTAGAATGGAGATTAAAAAAATAAAAATAAAAAATGTGAAATTCAAAAATTAAAATAAAATTAAAAAAAATAAAAAAATTGAATAGAATTTAAAAAATTAGAACAGAGATTAAAAATAAAAAAATGAAGCAGAGTTTAAAAAATTAAAATAAAGATTGAAAAAAATAAAAAAATCAAATAAAAGGAAAATTCTATTTAATTTTTATTCTAATTTTAAACTCCCCTTCATCTTTTATTTTTTAATCTCTATTTTATTTTTTTGAATTTTACACTTTTATTTTTTTATTTTTTTAATTTCTGTTTTAATTTTTAAATTTTGTACTTTTACTTTTTCAATCTTTGTTCTAATTTTTTAAACTTCACATCTTTATTTTTTATATTTTCAATCTCTATTATAATTTAAACTTTATTCTATTTTTTTTTATTATTAGTTATAAAATAAATTTTAAAATGTTTTAATAAAATTTAATATTAGTTAATTTTAATTATTTAAATTTAAATTTATTTAACTGAGATTTTAAATTATATATCTAAATTATTTTTTAACTAAGATTTAAAGTTTATATAGTGTTATTATATAAAAAAGATATGTAAAGTTATTAGTAAACATAAACTGATCATTTGTGAATTATATTAGTATTATTCAGAATTCTGTTAATATGTATTATTACTATTTGATAATTATTTAAGTTACAAAATATAAGGTTTAAATTTTCTACATATTAAAATCTATTTTTACTATTCAGGTTATCATTTCTTAATTTAGTAAATATTTAATTTTTTTGATTTATAATTTTTGCATTTCTTTTTAATTTATTAATTTTATCTTTATTAGAATTAATTTAAACTCAGCTTTTTTTATTTAAATATAATTACCTAAAGTTCTAAATAAATCAGTTTAGATCAAGTTAATCAAGTTACCTGAATTAAAAAGTTCAGGTTAGATTAAACAAAAATCTAATCTGATTAAATTTTTATTAACCTAATCTAATTGAATTATTTAAAAAGAATGATTTATTATTATTTTAATTGAAATAATTATTATCATTTAAGAAGAATAATTTATCATTATTTAAATTAAATAATTAGTTATTATTAAAAAAGAATAATTTGCTATTATCTAATTGAATGATTAGTTATTTTTTAAAAAAAATAATTTATCATCATTTTAATTAAATAGATATATTATTATTCTAATTGAATGATACATTATTATTCTAATTAAATGATTTGTTATTTTTTAAGAAGTACGATTTATTATCATTTTAAGTGTTTAAGTATCATTTATTTTGAAAATATAAAAAGCAATCTTGATATTAATCTAAAAATATACTGATTTGATTTAGATTTTTTTAGGCTAATTCAAATTAAATAATAGATTAACCTGATTTAATTCAAAGCTTTATCTGACCTAGATTTTTCAAATCATATTAGGTTAGGTAATAAATCAATTTATTTGATCTGGATTTTCAGATCAAGTCAGATTAGATAAATAGATTGACCTAATTTGATTTAGAGCTTTAACTTAAATCAAATGATATAATTAATTCTATATTTATATTTATTCATTCTTTTTGCATAATTTTAATTAATTTTTTGTTTAGATTTAAGTAAAGGTTTCTTTTTTTTTGTATTTAATTAGGCTTTACTAATCCTACGCCAGACTTTTGCATAAATATCTAACTTAAAAAGTGCAAATCTAAATTCATTAAACCATACAATATATTTTTATTCTTCTTGCCAATTACATTTTATTTTACATTATCAATTTGGTGTTTTTGAGTTAATAAGAGTCTTTTTCTTGAAGCATAATTTTTAATATTATTTCATATGAATATTTGAATAGTGTAATTGGTAGTAGAATGATCATTATTCAGCTTACTTGTAATTTTACCAAGAAAAGCAAATCTATCCTTATAAATAATACTTTTTAAAAAATGTTTTCCGCGATTAGATAATGTTTTTGGTCAACCTAAACGTTTATTAGGATGTGGAGAACCAGTTTTTTATAACGATTAATAGTATCATATACTGTTGAAGAGGGAATATTAAAATTAGATGAAATTAATGCCAGTAAGGTAAGCACCAATTATTCGTTCTCGTTAATTCTTTTTAGGCATTTTGGTATTAGAAAAATTAATTAAAAGGCTGGTATTTATTTGTAATACTTGTAATTGTGTCCATATCTAAAAAGAGAACAATAACGGCTCTTAAAAAATTTTTAATTAATCGCGTAACAATCAATTGTGGCGATCAATTTCCAATGAATTATTGTAGGTATATTGTTCGCTCAGGACAAATAATCAGGACAAATAATAGATTAATAAATCAATAAATGATTTATTTAAATAATATTTTAATTGATTAAATAAATTATTTAATTATAATAATTATAATTAAATAAAATTAATTTATTTAATAAAAATATTATTTGATTATTTCTAACATTAAATAATAATATATTCTTTATTCTATAATCAATTTGTAAGTATTTACTTAACAAATATAAAACAATAAATAAACCTTAATCTTTGTTATTTAAAACAATATCTATTTTATAATTAATGTATTTATCTAATATTTATAAATTATAAATAAATAAATGTATTAATATTAATTATATAGTCATTTTAATATGAGCTATCGCATGTCGTATTTTATTGTTCTAAATTTATTCTAAAATTTTCTAATCAAATTAAGATTTGTTTTGTTACCTCGTGTCGTTGCAAAATTCATTTTCGCCATATTTTCCTTGATTTAATTTCGATAATAGTAGATGCAGTATTATCAGTATTGAACATTAAGTATATGAATTGTTAATACAATTAAACGTCAACTGGTCAATATAATAATATCGATAACCCATCCTGTTAGAAAAGCAACTTTTTAAAAGGAGAATTTCATGTTGAAATTTAAAAAATTTGTTACGTAAGCGAAGATAAGAATCAATGTTGGAATCCAACTAACCAGAAAAACAGAATACTAGAAATTCTGTACCATAATTGATTGGTTAAATACTGAACGAGACGTCATAGTAAGAAAAACTCGAAGTCTTCGGACTTTCAAAAGAGAAGGTTTAACTCTTTATAAAGTTTCAGACTCGGTGTCGTGATAATATCAATACAAAATGTCATCAACTTCCTCCGATATTGAAAATAATATCCCAAAGAAAAAAGGTGCAAAGATTTTTTATTATATACCTGAAAATATAACTAACTTAACGAAGAACCTACGCTAAGAGAGTAAAAAGAATATATAATTTGATCCTTCTATCCTAACTGGGTTAGGATCACAATAATAATGTAGTGATATATTCTAGTATTAAAGTATTAGTCTTTATGCATGCTACCAAAGTTAACCGTTTATGGGAAGCGAATCAATTTAATTTGGATGAATCGGGACGAAGAAACTATGTTCGTTTTGATGTTTAAAATCGAGTTACGAATATAGTAAATCATATGATCCGAAATGTGATTATAATAGCAAACCGTCCAAATATTTAGTCTTTCGTTTCAAATCAAAAGAAAGAAAAAAAATTCGTGTTTGCAACAAATCGAAATTAACAAAAATTTTAATTTGAACGAAAAAATTATTCGAAAAAGCTTTTAATGAGGATTCTGTGATATTTAAATATTTATACTTTTAAGATACAGCAATTCAATTACTAAACGTATAAACTTTCTTTTCGCCTTGTAACATCTTACAAAATTTAGAAGTTCCAACAACCCTTTCCAATCTCAATTGATCAAATTTTGAAAATAAGACGCTAATTGAAATCATCTCGTTTGAATTCTCGATAGCTGAAGTTTTATTGGAAGGTGACAGTTGTATAAAATTTAAAAGTTCTGAATAAAAATGAGCATGATCTGGCAACGCATAAAAGATAATATGATGGATTCCTTTTATGTGATTTCTATTAATAACAAAGAAAATGAGAAAATTAATTGGTTAGTAAATAAATTGACCTTAAACAACAAACTTTAGCTTTTTACCTCCTAAAAAAATGAAATCTTTCCGTATATAATAAATAATTTTTCTTTCCATTAAGAAAATAAGTACGTGCTCTTGTAACATCAGAAACGCTTGCATACCTAAAATTAAAATAAAACCAAAGGGATTAAGTTACAGTTAAACGTTTAAATATAAAGACAGTATAGTTCGTGTACTTACTCATTAATTGAAGTAAATGAAAATGAGTTATCTTCAAAATAATTCCGTAATCTTACAAAATCAAAATACGATGGTATGAAAATCATTACATGCGACAAATTCATTTTTCTTATTTTCGGTAACACCTATAAATTCAGACTCTTTAATACTTGTACGAAAAGAAAATCGTCCCGTTTGATCAAACTTGTGTAATTTGTTACCTTTTCAGTGAAATATTTAAACCTTAAATCATCGACTTCTGATAGCAAATTACATTCAATTCGTGTAAACGTCTTAAGGATAAAATAATTTGTTATTTAACTTGATAAATCAATAACCTCATTAAAACTTTCCAAGGTAAATTCAGAGACTTGTACCTGCCGAATATTTGTCGCATTAACATCCAAGATAGTTCCTTTATGATGATGCTTGATTTTTATTTTTCCATCGACATTATTCATTTGCTTATTAAATAACGCGTTAATTTCCGGAGTTAAATAGTCAGCAAAGACAATAGTTTGTCTCAAATATTTCGCTCTATATAATACAAGTCAAATTAAAACCCAAAGTATCAAAAAAGAGAGAGAGAGAGAGAGAATTACCTTCCATCAAGGTACCACTCCTTTACGCGTGAGAAATCACAATCATGTGATTTCTGTGGGATCAGGTTCATATGGCTGAAGATATGCTAAAAATCCCCAAAATTAATAAAAATTCCACGTCATAAATGTCATCAATACATGCACTTTTTTTAATACATACTTCGACATAATCCCAATTTTGCATCAAGAGGGTATCACATTGATCAACGATCATTACTTCAATTGATGAAAGAAAATCAAAATCCCGTTTCTTGTCCCTTGAAAAGTTTTTAATTTTAGGTATGCAAGCGTTT